TCGCAAGCAGTGGGTTGCTCCACCATCCAGGAGAGCTCGTCCTCCTTCCCGGACCTCGAGACTACTCAAACGGATCGTCTTGATCGAGGTGGCCGGTCTCAGGCTCTTCAGGAGCGTAGTTGCCTCGTTCAAGAGGTCCTTTACATCTCCTGCCGTTCCCGCTCCTCGATCCCCTTCATTGGGTGCCACTGATTCACCAGCCTCGCTCCCCCCAATCTTCACCACGGGCTCCGCAGTCTCCGCCCTCGTAGGCTGCGCATTCTTCTCCTTCACTACCTTCACCACTGGCTTCTCCGGCGTAGAACCCTTCGGCTTCATCACCGGGCAATCCTTTTTCGCATGCCCCTGAGCTGAGCAACCGAAGCATCGTCCCTTCTTCTCGATGCCGGTCCAGTCGTGCTTGAACTTGCATTCCTGTCCCCTCCGGCAGCCTTCCTCTGAGCCCCAGAAGCGACACACCTTCTCTGCCACGTCGTTCTTCCCCTTGTAGGTCGAGTTCTTGTCTATCTTCTCTTCCAGGGTCGTTGCCATCGCCTTGACCTTCACCGTCGGTGTCGGTTTCACGACTTCTTCCACTGGTGGTGTCTCCCCAAAGGCCAGCGTCTCTGCCTCTGCCAACAGCGAGTCCGCGAATCCCAGGACGGAGGCCAAGGTCGGAGTCACATCCACCCCCAGTGTCGCCCTGGTCGAACTGACCCTGAATGCCGCTTGTCCGGAGGCCTTCACCACCGGCGCCGACATTCGATCGACTGCTCCCAACAACAGTGTAGCATCGGGAGTGGTGATGTCTAACTCCTGAGCCCTCCGAAGACTGCGTCTCCATCCCCTTAAAGTCTCCAGCAGCTCCTGCACTGTTCCTGGCGTCTTGGGGTCCACCAACGACCTCAGCAACCTCGATCTCTCTGCTAGTCCTCCGGGTTGATATCGACGGAAGAGAGCAAAAATGACCTCCGTGGAGCTCGTCGTTCGACTCGCCAAGATCTCTGATCGAACTCCCGATGGTACTGCATTCAGCAACATCAGCTGGCCTCTCTGCTCCAACCGAGCCCATCCACCAGGTCGTTCTGATAGAGCTCGAGGACGAACATAGAGCTTCTGCACCGGCTCTGCCTTCAGCCACTCCTGATATGCTTCCATGGCTGACCTCATGACTTCCTCCCACCACATCCAGCTATTCGTCGAGAGGTCCTTCATGGTCGGGGTGACCAGCTGGATCCAATCTCCCAAGATTAGGCTTCCAAGATCTCCCTCCTTGAGCTCTGCAAGCATGGGGAGGTCCACGGTCCTGATGTTCTAATGTTCTCCCCCATCCACGATGAACCATCGTTCGACCCCTGCCCCAACTGCCTCAGCACAGTGTGAGCAGCTTGCTCCAGTGGCGAGCTCGCCTGATGCGCCCGACTCTGATGTCCCTCTGGTAGGTGACATTCTCCCTGATCTCCTTGGCGTTGATCTCCTGGATGTTGACCCCTTCCATAGGCTTCCCAAGAGCCGGGTACTTGAGGTACTCCCGGGCGAGGTTCTCGTCCAGCCCATAGTGCCCAATTCTCTCCCCTTGGACCTGGAGTCATCGGCACCGCCCCGACTGGAAACTCTGGCATCCTTCCCAAGTCGACCCACGCCTGACTCTCGAAGTTCTGCTCAGGAGTCTTCGGCGGCGGTCCCTGTGGAGGTGAAGGTGGTGGGGTACTCGTAGGTGGTCTTGGTCTCGGTTCCTTCACCTCCCGGTCCTCCTTCGACTCCACCTTCTTTTTCAGTTCCTGAAGTTCCCTCTTCAAAGATGCATTCTGAGTGAGGACTGCCCTGAGCACCTCCTGCACATCCACGAAGGTTCCCTGGCCGCCCTCTTCAGGCTCCACCCGACTGGACACCCCAGGCTCCTCCGTGGGTCCCAGTGACGCCGGCCTCATCGCTCTCAAGAGGGCCTCGCTCTGCATCCGCTCCGACCAGAATGGGTTCACCTGGACAACTGGCTGCCCCGAGCCTTGTCCCTTTCCATCCTTGATCGCTCTCCTCGTCGGGCCATACGACACAGGAGGTCCTGAGGCTGATGCCGACCCTCTCAGCGCCACCGCGTCCTTCGCGTCCTCGATGGCCAGCTGCTCGGCTTCCTCCTCAGCGCTTTGCATGCCCCCGCCGCTGCCTCCGCTGCCTTCCGGCGTGCCCGCGCCAGCAGCCGCCGCCTTCGCCACAGCCTTCGTCGCTGCTGTTGGCTTGGGCGCCGCAGCCGGCATGGGGACCAGCAACCGTGCCGACCACGTGTCGGTCACGGGTGGGCTTCAAAAAAGAAGGACCTTTGGGCTCATAACCCGCGTGTGTCCGCTGCACGGACTTTTGATGGCTAAAAAGGGCTTCGTTGGTACACTTCGGATTTGTGCGTTGCACAACCTCAAACTTGGTACACTTCTCGGTTCGTGCACCTTCTACAACCTTCAAGCCTTCAAGCATGGTACACTTCTCGAATTTATGCACCAGCACTAATAATCCCCTTCTTCAATACCAAGTCACTCCACCAAGACAAACACTATGACCGACCGGACGCGCGCAGAGATCATGCGCTAAATAAGCGCATGGACCTCTGGATCTGGGTCAGTTCTTCATACCTTTTTACTAATGTGCGGGTGGAACAAGCCGGGTTACAACGTTCGGAAGTCGTCCTTTCCTCCTAGAAATCAGATGCCAAGTCTCCCACAGTCTCACCCCAAGTTCCTTCGTTGCACGGAAGCGCGGCGCGCGCAACGCCGTGGCGCCCAGAAGGAAGGACGTGCGGAGTTGCCCATCTTCGTGCGGCGCCGTGAAAATGATGCGCCCGTGCGTTGACAGCCACAGGGCTTCGACCACATCCGATTCGTGTGGAAGATGGGAATGTGGTCAACCTGTGGGATGGATTTCTGGATGCATGGCCCTCCAGAATTCTAGAGATGTTGGCTGGTGTAGCCGGGGGCTCCATGTATACATGACCAGCATGCATCCCAAAGAACACCCAAAAAGGATCTCGAAATGATCCGAAATGTATGTCACACTCATGGAGAGTTTGGTCAATCTTCAGATTTTTAGATATGTTCTAGGCCAGCATTAGGTGACAGGAAAAAGGAATCTACAACCAAACAGGTGCATCATCCGAAGAACTGGTTGAGGTGCCAGGCAACAAGCAGCTGAGGATGGATGTTCCACAATGCTAGATCGCTTACATATATATATATATATATGTTTTTTGGTTCCTCCAAAGCACTTTTATTTGCTGCACAACTTGTGGGTTTCTCCTGCGTCTAAACTTGTGTATGTTGAAGAAACGTTAGGTCCTTCATAATAATGCCCCTTAGAGGGTTCCGAGCCTGGGTGACTTTTCAATGATCCAAGCGCCTTCCGGGTCGCGGCAGACGTGCGCAGCCGTGACTGGTGGAGACATGTGGAGACCTTCCCGGTTTGATCGAAAAGCAGTTCCAGGGTTTTTCTTCCGATGCTACGCTTGAACCTTAAATACAGTATGCAGACATATGCAGACATGCAGGTTTGTTGGCTTTCTTTGTGCACACAAAGACAGAGAAGCTTCTTGAAGGCGGACCCCCCGCCATTTCATCAGGTCCATCAGACATCCCGTAGACCGCTGGTCGTCGTTCATTCGGTCAGCACAAGAACACCCCCCACCTCGGCATAGGCAAAACATATACGTTGTCCGCACTGGAACATATAGTTCAGCTGACGAAGTCAGACCTGGATAGGATCCTGCACGGTCTTGACGAGGTGATCCTGCTTCAAGTCCTGTTCTTGCAGACCTGTTTTTCTTCTTCAGAACTCATCCAGATAATTTTCTGTCCAAGTTTGAATCTGGTTTCAGCCTTACTGCGGTCAACATCCACGTAGTATGAGAGGTGTGTTTTAATGCATGTTAATTCACATGTGTACTTTCTGACTATACACCTTCAGGAACTCTATCTTGAGGCACATCCACTTGCTCCACTTCTTCCACCGTTTCCTGAGAAAAAGAAACATTGCCAGGAGGAAGTGATGCAGGCAGAGCGCTGTGGAGAGCCATCAGCAGTGCCCCAAGGGTTCAGCATGCAACTGGGCAGCATGCACTTGGTGATTTATCTCGTGGTAGTTGGTAAAGAACGACAATATAGCTGAGAAGCAACATGAAACTAGCTTGGCTGCCAGCAACTTTTGCGTAGGTTGAACATGCTCAGGCCTGCAGGCATTTGAGTTTTGTCGGCTGTCTCCAAGGACTTCAGGGCCTAACAGAATTGCATTTGCCACCCAATTCTATATGTGACAATTGGTGTTTCTGGCATTAGAGTGTTGCTTTGGAAAAGCTACGTGCGCATTAGAGTGTTGCTTTGTGGAAACATTCTAGGGATGGTTGTGTCTATGCTTGCAGCTTGCAGGAGCCAAACCAGAGTGACCTTGGCACGTGAGCGTCGAACGCAACACCAAGTCTTCGATGTGAGCGGTTTTGCATGAGCCGAGGCTCATCTAGGTGATAAAAGGTGATGTACATTTGCGCTGCCGTAGAAGCTATTTGGTGTACATGAGATTCAGTCCAAGCCGTGAGGCGAACGTAGCTTCAGACGTCCAGAACACAGTGAGTGGTGCAGAAAAAGGCAGGTGTGCAACACCCGCTTGTGGCAAAGAAATCAGACTGTTCTCCTATATATATATATGTGATGTGAATGTATATTATATATGATTCATATATGACATACGTGCACATAGTTTAAACATGTTTTAACATTCAGAACTGTTCTCTTTTGGCTGTTTCGGGCTTGGCCTCTTGCTGGAACACAACGACAGTGCGTTTGTCAGTCTCTGTGTAGAGCTATACACGTGTTTCTCCAGCTCTTTACGTGCATCGTACGAGCGGCTCGGAGACCTGCATTCAACGTGCCATTGATCCGGTCACAGTGGTGTCTAGTAGCCCAGAACCTGTTTACAACAAAGATATATGAGTGGTTTCACATCGGATCATGCCATGTTTGACTGTGTGTCACCAGTCATGTTGTTCTCATGTTTGGTGTAGGGCCCCACAAACGACTGGCTCGTGCCAGACGTTGGTTCTCATTGTGTTCCAGTTCCTGTGGCTGACTGGCAGCCAGGCAGCGGCCGACGTCTCACCTCGAAGGAACACCGGACCGGCCATGACATCTCCGCTGCCGGAGGGCCCTTACCACGTGCGGCTGGGGCCGCGGCCCAAGCGGAGGGGGTCGTGTCAGGCACCAAAAGAGAGTTGGCTGACGAAGCTTGAAGAAAAGAAACTTGAAGGATCCCCAATCAGACACTATCCCAACAGACTGTCACTTGGGATGCAGTGAATATTCCCAAGCCTTTGGGGGGCTTGAGTCCTGACGCGCAACTCGCGCAAATCGCCCGTCCTAAGGACTCAGGGTATGAGCCCCATACTGAAGTGCAGCGAGTGCAAGCCTAAGTGCCAGTGAAGTTCGCAGGACAGGCAAGCGAGCTTTGAAGTCACAAATGGACCTTGTTCCTTTGGCCACCGTGACCCAAGAATTACCCTCCCTCCAACAAAGATGGAAATCCCTAGGCCCTAGTAATATGTGAGTTTTGCTTATGTGTACATGAGCTTCAGGGAGAGTACGTTGTTTTCCGTCCCGCCTCTCTCTGGCTGGCCCACCTACCGAAGTGAGCCCAGGTCATCGACAGTGTCAACGTGCCAGTCGGAGTGGCTTGACTGACCACATCAAAGTAGTGTGTATTAATACATACACTAAACCCTGCTACTGTATGTGTATATATAATATAATGCAGAGTTTAGTGTATAGGACATGTCCCAGTGGTCAATGTTATAACATCTTTGTCGTGTGATCGGCAGAACCAATGCCAAAGCCTTTGTCGCCGAATGCCTCTTTGGATTGTTGTTTGTAGGGAGTTGAGTCCCTTCTCAAAGCCTCTAGGGGCGGCATAACCGTGATTCTTGGGAATCTTCCTTGCAGCCCCCAAGCATGAAAAATAATCTACCTGCCTGCCATTAGGTAAATAATAATGTAGGTTGCCTACTGAAATATGATTTTGTTGTTTCTGAGTGTGTTGATGTGTTTTCTTCAGTTGGGAGAATATCCGGGGACTACCCCTATAAACCAGCGAGAGTTTAATTGACATGAATTATGGTTTTCCTTCCTCAAGGTCCTTGGGACTGTTTATTTGGGGGTGGGTGGTTAGATTATGTGTCCTGCTAAATAAAGCATGGGTTGAGGAACATGTCCACCACCAACCGATAAATACGAGTAGAACATCTTAGAGGGCACCTAGATTAAGGACCAACGACAGACAGGAGGTCAAGCAAGGGCGCGCAGATCACATTTTTTGAGAAGCTACTTGTGTTGGTCCTGCGCTTCCAGAGGTTAGTCGTAGGCTGGTTGGCATCAGAGTTAATCGCTTACTATAATCCTAGCTCAAAGGTTCCTCTAGTAAGTATTTGGAAGGAACTCAAGGTACCCACATAACTCAGAACTCGACCTGCTTCAATCATATTGCCATTAATGCTATAGTTTGTAAATCCGCCGCAAAGGCCCACCCGAAGAATGACATGCCAACATTTCAGGGGGTACCCCACACTGTCCCTCACTAATGCAAGGAAGATTTACTATGAGACGTGTGCAACCTGAGTCAATTTGCACACAATCAGGCCAGTGACACCCCGAGATGGTCGCCACGAGCGCTGGGCCACGTTGAAAGATGCAAAAAAGTCTTTGGAGGCCAGTGGGGTCAGTCTCACCATTTGATCCTTGCCAGTTCTCCAGATCGGACATGATTGCATGCAGAAGCCCAAGTCGAGGCCCAATGGGTAGAGTTTGCCATCATGTGAGTACCACCGTCGAATGGCCATTGTGTGGTAGGACCAATTGGACGCTGTGCAACAGGCGCTGCAAGAACTGCATGAGGCCTGCTTTCAAAACGTTCCTATGAATACAATCGAATTACTTTAGGTTCATATGATTCATATGTCATGCATTACCGTTTAAGCCAACAACTGAATAGCGACAAAGCGAAGTGAAAGCTGCTAAAATTAGAGGACGCAGAGTGTGTCGAAAGCTTAGCTTTTTGACTTATTGAGATATAGTTGCTCTCATCGCTTTGTCTCGTTATGGATTGCTCCGACTTCTTTCAATTCATGTTGAGGTGTCAAGTCTTTGCATTTTGTCCGTCAGATGACGTCTCAATGGTCCTGCTCCCCTGCAAGGAAAAGCTGACGGAAGCACACAAAAAGGCTGTTTCACTCGCGCTGGGCATTCAAGTGTTGAACCAACATCAACTTGAAAGGCTTCAAAACCACCAATAGTTAGCAGAGTAAACTAAGCTAAGCTTGGAAGTCAAGTGTTTACTTGGGATCTCCCAAGTGTTGAACCATGGGACCTTTTTCATTTCCTGACTCCCAAGCTTGAACAGAGGCCACCACTTCGACTTGACTCAAAAGTTTCAAGACTCACACGCTGCCTGAAATTTGGGTAGCTGCGTGAGTCTTTTTTTCTTAAGCAACATCCTGCTTGATTCTGTACCGAAAAATGCACATTATCATCAGATTGACTGTGAAAGTCTTGTTTTGTTGTTCTTTGGAACCCTTTTTCAACTGTAACTACACAATGTTGTTCTGATGGAACTGCTGGGAAATTATCCAATTGCCAAAAAGTGAGAGAGGTTATTGATCAAAACTGTTCTTCTGATATAAATGTTTGCCTTGTGACATGTGTATGAGGCTCTTAGTGGCAAACCAATGAATATAATTGTCATGACTATGTTGGGACCAATATCAATTTGATTCTAAACTGCACAAGAAAATGCAATTGCCACCATTAGAGTGACATGCTATGGTCAGGGTTAACATTCTTTTCAGCGGACAGTCTAGAATCACAGGGGAGCAGTCAATGTACGAGAAAATGGATTGGCTGGCTTCGTTTCCACGATAGTAAACAGAGTAAACTCACTCTGCTGTTGATGAGGAGCTTCATTTCGCAGCATGTTTGTTATACTTTCTTTGTGCATCATGTCAAGGCAGAAGACAAGGCAACGTTGGCTGAGTCTTTGCAGGCAATGGCCTTGTGGCAGTGGATGTTTTGTTAGTTAATGTCCGCAAGTTCTACATCATGCCAGGCAACGATTGGGTCAACACAACAGATGTTGCTGAAGATTGAAGTCCGCCGCAAGTGCAAGCATGTTAGCTTTTCATGTTTGCAGGATCAACTGGAAAAGCTCACGGCGAAGTTGGATGAGGACTGTTTCACTTACTGTCCTTCGTGTCGCCCATCGCAACTCTTCGTCGATGCTAGACTGGTTCTATCGCCTGGTTATATCGTGCATCGCAGGCCAAACGGCACAAGCAGGCAACCGAGGCGCACCAGCGCCGAGTTGGCAAAGGTTTTTACCTTTGGCTCCTTTTCTGAGGCCAAAGGTGGGACATTCTCAGCTTTACAAGAGGTTGCTCAGATGTGCGCAACAGGTGTTTTTCACTGTTTTTGCTTAAGGTGGATTTCTATGTTCCCTGCGGGTGAAGTCCTTCTGGGGACTTGTTTTTTCTCTTTGCCGGTTTCTTAAGCAAATCAACGTTTCTTTTTTTCTATGTTTCTTCAGCTGCCCTCTCACAACACACATGGTTCCTCTTCTAAAGATCGAACCATAGTGTGCCTTCTTGCTGCGAGGCTGAAAGTAAGCATCTGAAGATTGAACTGGAGAATGTGCGCAACCAACAGGCCGGGTCGTTTGGTCTTCCCAGTGGTCCGTTGGTCGGCCTGTGATTCTGAAATCAGATTGCTCCGAAGAAGAAATGGTACGACACATTCTCCTGTTCTAAAGTGTTTGGGATGACGTTCTCTCTTTGAGAATCTGTTGTTTGCTTTGCGCTAAAGCTGCCTGAAAGGCCAAAGAAAAGAAAGCACTAGTTTCGGCCTCGCAGGAGAGTTTTCAAGGGACCATTGCTTCTTTAGGGTCTGTGTGTTGGGTCAATTGCTGCACACGCTTCATGACATCCACATATCATATCATATCATATCATATCATATCATCACATCCACTACTTACTTCATGGGAAGCGATCTATATACATGAACAAGGAATCAGATTAATTACAGCTATAGATGTTTGTCTTGGATAACATTGAGCTGTTGCTGCATGTTTGCATGCCCAATCTGCAGAATCACTACATAGGCTGGAATTTCTCAAAGTTCTTGGATGCTGAGTTATGTTTTATAACATATTTTGCATCGTGAAGTAATAATCAAGCATGCGCAGCTTGTCTTCAAAGCCCCTTTTCGAAACACAAGCCGGAACAACGTGTAGGCCCCCAGCTAAAGGTACAATGGTAATATGGAGATGTGTCATGTATGCCTAATTATGATTGAATGCCTCGGTTTGCTGCGAGCGCATTTGGGAATCTAACTCGGCTGGTCCTAGAGTGCGTACAGTGTGTGTGTGTGTGTCTTTGTTTCTCCATGAGTGAATCTGCAACTCAAAGGCTCACCCTGTGGGTTGTGAAGTGCAGCTGGAGTGTGGTGATTGGTGAGGTGCCGGGATATAATGCTGCAGAGTATTCGTCCATAAATCTCTACTGTACTGCTGTGCTGTTTCTTCACTTTAATGTGTTGTTCTTGGTGGCCGAGTAGGGTAGCAAGCCAACAGCTTGATGACGAAGCCCGGCACCGTAGAGTCCTTACCGTAGACGAGAAGAAGACGCACGGACATGTTTCCGCAGGGGATGGCCGACAGTTCGGCGTTCTGGGGCTTTTGCTTTCAACCAGAGCCGCACATATGAGTCGTCTTTTAAAAGCATTAATATGTGTATAATTGTGTATCTAATATCTTCATTCTTTCAGGCTCATGCGCTGAGGATCTATGTTTTTTCATCCTTCTGATGCGTGCACCGTCCTAGACGTTGCGGCTGCTTTTTCCTGCTTGAACGCGCGCGTCCTATCCGTCCCGAACGCTTCGACGTCTCCGGGGTCCCATGGGGTCCAGGAAGTCAACGAAAAGTACCAAGGTCAAAGGATTGTGCGATCAGACTTGGTTGTATCTACTAATAGATCCATAGACTGTTTGCCAGTGGTGACGTTACTAGGGTCCGGGTCCATGACGATCACCGATGGGTCATGTGGTAACCACAAGTTGTATCTATGGATGGTATCCACATGTATCCACAGATCCATAGATCCATAGTGCAACCACAAAAGCCATAGATCCATAGAAGCTTTTGGGTATCAAACTGGATGCCCAGTGGTAACCACATGTGGTCGAACTGGCCGCAACCATTTGCCTTCCAGTGGGTACAATGTCATACACCCTACGGCTCCAGTCGTACCTTCTAAGAAGGTGTTTGGGGTTGGGTTTAGAGGGTCCAAATACCTTCTGATGAGGTACGGCTGAAGCCCTAGGGTTTTAACAGGTCGCTCAACCCCAACACAGCTTTTCTACGACTGCCTCGAGGTATAAAACCAAAATCCGATGTCACCGAAGTCGCCTGATTCCTCTGCAAGGGTCCGGCAGTCCGCTGCGAGGGTCTGGCATGATGTTTTTCACCAGCTGCTGCAGTGGTAGTTCTCTACGTTCGGTTGTGAGGGGTCCGGCATTCTCTTGCCGCTGGTCGAGTGCGCAAGCTTGGCACGAAGAGATGACAAGCTGCCGCCAGTGAAATGTTCATGTGAAGCGTTCGTACCCACTGGAGCTGTTCTGAGAGCAACCGAAAAACCTGCAAGAACAAAAGTGTCAAGGCTTCGTGAAAAAGGAATGGGAGTGGTGTTCACATTGAATTCAGATCTGTTGAAGATTTGTTTTCCTGCGTTTGTTCGCAACACTTAGTATATGTATCGCTTGTATGTGAAGTGCTTTCAGCCGGAACTGGAGTAGCGCATGTTGACCCGTCGTTTCAAGGTTCATCTCTACTGGCAAGTCATTCTTTCAGAAGTGATGGATGGCGCCTTACTACTTACAGTAACTTATAGTTGTTATATATAATTATATATATATATCGTTATATGTTGCTTTTCTTTGCTTCAGACTGGTGCAGTTGGCAGTGTTGGCATAGACGTGTGCACCATGGTCACAGCGTCGCATAGTCTGGCACTTGCAACATAACATAGAGGCCCAGTGCTTAAGGAATGCATGTTTACCGCTTTTTGTTTCTTAGGGGTGCTGAGGCATGTGTTTTGTTATTGTTTATGGAGGTGTTGGTTGGCGCACGAACACGTACGGAATTAGCACATATATGATATGTTCAGAATTTATGCTCTTGTTGTCCTCCACCTGGGGGTTCTTGGCTATTCATTGTTTCCTTTCGGGGGAAGTTTCTTCACCAACTTTGCTTATTATAATATTCTTTAATAGTCCCGTAGAAGACGTCGGTGGCCTAGTGTTTTCCAAGAGACGGGGTCAGGCATGTATTGTCAGGCTTGTCATGTACAGAGCAGCAAGACTGTATATGTTTGCACATGATGTCTCCTGATCGAGGAGCAGCTTAAAGCCTTCATCTCAGTCAAGCAGCAACTCGACAGCCTCATTGAAGACCATGTTCGATTGCAGGAGCGGATGGAGGCGTGGAAGATGGACAAACGACGAGATGACAACGCATAGTGGCATAGTACACGCCTTTCCTACTAGAGCTGGTTGATAATTCAAGTTGTCCATGTTTGTTTTGCTCGCGGTTTGAAGGTGTTTTTATCGTGAAAGCGCCAACAACCAGGCCGCAACGGCTTGCGCACCGGGGCATCAAGAAGAAGACTCTATGGTGGCAACGTCGTGGCATGTTTGCCTGAATTATCTAGATACAGTTGGTTTGTTCCAAGAGTGCAGGACCAGATGCCATTTTCAGATGTTTGACAGAGTGTTCCATCGGCTCTGTCCATCCGTCCGACCTGGGCGTCGGCTCGGTCCAGGTCGAAGATTCACGTCGGCCACGGTGGGGGAGTCCGTCCGACCTGGGCGATTCACAGGCTGTTTGCAGGGATGGGTTTGGACCAAATTCAATGATTATGGTCGATGGACACATGGAACGTGTATGAACATGTGGGGGTTTGTTCTGAACACGTTGCATGAGGCAGTCATACAAGAGGATACGCAATGCAGATTGGTCATTACTTTTTGTGGGAGGCGCAAGAATGTGCAAGGGCAAGCGCAATCCCGACGTATATTAATATATTATACAATTTGTTCAAGGAGGCGGCCTCTATCCTATCACGCCTTTCTAATCTCTTTCCCAATCACTCTCAACCGTTTTACAAGGAGCCATTGTCCAGACCTTCTTCAACTCGTTCTCGTCCGCAGCTCTAACTTCCACCCCCTATCTTCTCCACACAATTCTCTTTCACTGCCATGGATGAGAAGAATAGTAATATTAGCAAAAGCCCAAAGGCATCTACAATCTACAAGTACACAAACATGAAAAGGGAGGGCAACACCTTGGAGCACAACCAATCTACAGCATTTGATTCAGAAATTCAACTCACTCCCTTTCACACGCTGCACACTTAATTTGCCTCACGCGGTTGCGAGTATACAAGGACAGTGATAGGCACAGAGAAACACAAGTCATGAGCAGGAGATTGGCTTTGCAGGCATGGAGGCTACAAGGACTTCATGGAATCCATCATTCCAGATGTTCACTTTTTGGTTTGTCACCACAGTGCAGCATTTGTGGGCCAGAGGGTACCGCACCATTTCAAGCAAAAGGAATGAGCTATCCCAACCGCCAACAAACTTAGCACCTCTCTTGACCCACAGATCCTTTGTTGCAGCGCTGCAGGTGCTGCCAGGAGAAGTTGGCCCCGAAAATCCTCAGGCCTGAAACTCGAACCTGTGAGTCGTTTGTGAAGTGTTCCAAAACCAGCCTCTTTGACATCCTATCTTGGAGGAGAGAGCAGACTAGCAGGTTCTTTTTTCTTGTCCTTCCTATTGCCTTTGAATTGACCTTTGTTGCTCTTTTGCTTTCTTTGCCTTTCCGCCCTTTGCTGTTTCTGCCGTTCTGCTTCTGTTTTGTTACTTTTTGGTACGTTGCTTCGTTTTTCCTGCGGTTTTCCCTTGTCCTGTTCGTTTCCTTGTTCTGCTTTTTGGCTTGATAGTGTAGAAACAGTCAACGCAGTGTTTTTTTTCACCAACCACGCCACAGGTGCATGAAGGCGCAAGAGCGAACCCAAGAGCCTTTCAACATAACACCCTGCAACTAAGGTTTGGAAATGTTTTCGAACGACCCCCATGTGAATTGGTGTTTAGGAAAACCTTGGAACAACCCCCATGCGCCCGAACCGCTATGGCGCTGCAGTCTTGGCGATGTGGCCCAAGACCGAAAACATCCAAGAACACCGAGGGTCTTCGGGTCGAAACTCTTAAAGTCTCAGTGTGGAGTCACTCTTCAATGAAGCACAACTGGACTGAATAATTACATTCCTCTGAAACAAACCCGACTTCTTGCCACGGTAAACACACCTTTTTGGCACGAAAGCAACCAACGTGTTAGACTGAGCCAAACAGGTTTGTTTGTGTATATCAGCCCGCTCGCTGCCTGCCACTTTTCCTTCCCGCTGCCACAGGGCTTGGGGTATGTCTGAAGGGTGCATTAGCCATGCGACTGTTTTCCATCTTGAGATACATGATTCCACACAGATAACTTCAACGGCCTGTTCACAATTCATCATGAAGGTCATTTCTACCTGAGAGTGAATTTGCTAGCGCTGCATCGAGGCGCAAGAGCTGGCATCTAGGCCGGAGCCGGCAGCATCCAATTCGCCACTCAACTCCGAGGCCGGTGACATGTTCCTGGATCTGGTGTCAGGTGTCCGTTTTCTCGTCCTCCACCTCGTCCCCCGTCATCTCAGGAACCTGCAAGAGGGCGAAGGTTCCGGCCTACACAGAACTGCCCAGGTGGTTTCGGGAGACGACTCGCTTTGGTGACCAACTAAGATCCTCAAAGGTGGTGGGTGTTTCTCTTCAGTCCGCGCTTGGGCCAATGAGTTTGGTCACCGATCTGGCGTTCTTTCGCATATGTCATTTTGGCTCATAGTTTTTGTTGAGCATCTGGAGCAAAGTAATTGATTTGTAAACATAATATCTTCTGTACACCCAATGAAAATATTGACTTTAGGTTGTTTGCACTTAAAGTGTCTTGAGGGATTACATGGGGATTATGGCTTAAAAGCAATTGCATTGTTCTCAAGGACACGCAGTGAGTTAAGTTTTCCCTCACAGATCAAGATGGGGATGCCATTTTGTCCTCCACATTTTGCATATCAGGATAGATAGGAGGATGTGGATAGGTACCCACCTGGCATATCCTGTTGGGTACCCATCTGCCCTGTTTGTCCACTTGTTACCTGACCCAACAACGGTCGATTCAAACCCGTTTGCCAGGTCCACCAGTGAGGGCTGCTCGATCGCAGACGCCTTCGAGCCCCACCCCTCGGAGTCGCTGGGCGCATGGGATCGGAGCGATCGTGCCGCGGAGCGGAGCGATCGTGGCGTGAACGGCCAGGGGGTTCGGGAGGGGGAGAGAAGGTAGGCATATACCTAGATCTTCCAACTCTGCAACATTTATGTGCCTTTTCATCCAAACCAGCCCAGTACGGCAGAAGTTGGTCACAGTTGGAAGATCTAGAGGTAACGACCTTTGTGCAAAGGAATCCCCGGTTTCACGAGGTTCAACGGTTTGAAACGGACCAAGTCTGAAAAGAACCCACTGCTCGTCATTGGAGTGTGCCCCACGCCAAAATGGTCCTCCCTTGCAGAACAACTGAGCTGAGTGTTTTACAGGGTCAAGGGTTTATGCAAGATGTAACATTCAAAAGGCTGGCGTAGGCAACCTGCTTGGGGAGGTAGGCCGTTGTAGGCATTGTCTAATGTTTGTCTAATGGCGTTTGCCGTAGGCGACCGAAATCGACCGAAATAGCATGCCTTGGGCCTTGAAGTCACCCAGCTTATGTTTCTGATTCAAATTAGAACTGACAGACTGACAGTAGTTTTTTTGTTCCAGTTTCTTGTAGCAGATGTGTTTCATCTCATAGTCTGGGACATGAACCAGGGGCAGTTTGCAAGGGCACTTAGAATGACCACCAGAGAAAAACGCAAGACATTGCAATGCAACCACAATGCCAAGACTACCAGGGAGGTTAGAAAGGCCACTGTTTCTGTGTAAGAGTGAGAACTCCCAATAATGTCCCAAACAACTCTTTTGTGTTGTTTTCCTGGGAACATTTTTCGTAGGCTCACCGTAGGTTCTCCATACAGGCACTGTAGGCGAAAATGCATTTGTGATCCTTCCCCCGTGTCCCCTTGCCTATAGTACTCTCAAGTAGTTGTTAAAACCTGCTGTTCTGAGAAGTATTCCCAATGTCGAAGACATGGGGAGACTATACGCGTCAGTGCACGTCCCGCATGGTATCGTCCCTCGCCTCCGAAGTAATGTCCAAAACTCATGATGAGCATGAAGTCGTTGCTTGCTCGTCTTCCGTTGTGAAGCACATGCATAGCGAATGAACCAACTTGCCCATCGTGGAGTGTGCTGGCATTTGCCCCGTCTGTCTGCGAACGACTTGGGCCGCTCTGTCGAGCTCATCATCTGAAAGATAAAGGGTCAGCTGGTGCGTAAACGTTTCCACTCGCAAGAACTGCATGGTACCGTAGGCAAATTGGAACAGTAATGCTCCAAGACCTCACGTTCGTAGATTAGGCGATGTGGAATAAGCCATGTCTGCCGCAGGCTTTCACTGTGGAAACGTAGCCAAACCGTAGGGTTCTAGGTAGGCACCGGATGAAAACACCACGCCTATATATATATATTTAAAAAAACATCCCTGCTCAACTGTGGCCAACGGTTCGAACCTTTGGCATGGCATGAAAGATCCGAAGGGTGCCCACGATGCTCACGCGCTCACTGCGAGAGCGCGAAGACCACGGAATTGATCCCAGGCGAGTTCAGAGTGCGATTGGAGCAATGTGGCGATCGAAGGTGGGGCTAGGGAGGATCATGAGTTTGCTGACCCAATCCAAAGTCCCACAGCTTGCCAGATTCCTTCCAGGTAGGCAGTTTTAAGAGGGTTCAGTCAGTTCCTTCTGGATGGTCACATAGAGGCAAAGGATGGGATGAAGGCACATGAGGACCACTATTTTGCGGGAGTTTGTTGCTTCACTGATTCTGGTAGACGGACCCTCGAATGCGGCCCAATCCATTGTTATCGCGGTTTCGTGATGCATATCGATCCATAAAGCCCCAACAGTCCGTGGTGCAAGATGAACATAAAGAGAAGTGTCCAGCCTTGCCACTTTGCCAGAGAGAATATGTTTGCTTTGAGCTTTCGACCCATCCGCTCATGTACACATTAAAACAGCTGGGTAGGATAATGGAGAACTGGTAGTATACTAGAGTTCGCTTTCCCTTTCCAGGTTGGGCATGAAGCTGGACAACGGTGGGCACGTAGTGATCATCGACCGCCGCTGGGCCAAGAACACGAGGCTCGAGACATGTCGGGGAGAGGCCATGTTATGACTCCAGTCACTCCAGCCGCCAAACAGGACAGCCTGACAGGACGACGGAGAAAGGACACCTCAAAGCTTCAGTGCACAGCTCTTTAGTGTCTAAAAATCCGTGTGATTCTGGGGAACCAGCACTTTGACACTGCTCATGCAGACAGTTTGCTTTCCCTAAGGATCCAGTCGTGCCGAACCTCAGAAGGTACGACTGGACCCTCCTGGCACCTACATAGCAGTGTCTCCAATCACCTTCTGAGAAGGCACTTAGATCCCTAGGGTTTACTTGATCCTTGGAGGTTTTGCAGATCCCCGGCCACATCCCGATCCCTAGGTCAAGCATCGCGTCGCTAAGGCATTGATGAGGGCTTGGTCAAGGAGCTGCCGGCCTCCAGCAGTTTCGCGCCCCCCCCCCTGCGCCTTTGCGCCCCAAAAAGCGCTGCGCCGTTGCGCAAGCTTTTTGAACTGGGCCCTCCTTGGTCATTCCCATTGCACAGGCCTTTGATGTGTTTCAGGCTGCGTCGTTGGGGAGTTCCCTTGGTTCAGGCTATTCAATCGACGGTACGAATCCTTGGTACATTGAAGTACTAACCGTCATCATCCATTTATCCATTTGATCGTTAGGTGGAAGAGACATATGTCAAACCATGTCAAACCCAAAGATTTGGCGTTCAACAGACCAACCCATGTCCACATACTTAGATATGGGCCCGACCTATTGGAAGGGGAGGCCTGTACAATGGAATATGCCTTGCTTGCACACATGCATGGAGGTAGCCTTCGCCATAAAGTTTAAAGCTGCTGCAGCACGCCAGAATCCCAAGTTTCCAAAAAGGCTGTGCCAGCTGAAGAAAGGAACAACGCAGATGTAGCATGCCCTTTGCAGGCCAGCCCAGAGTAAAACATAGAGGGTCCGTCGTCACCACAACCTTCATTCGCGAAGAATGTGCGTCTTCCCCGCCACCGGCACCGTCTCGTGAGTCAAATTCGGAGTGTTCGTTCCGGAAAGAGTGGCCGACCGAGCGACCAGAGGAGTTCGTGTATCGCAGACCGTGTATCGCGAGGGTGAACTGCGCAGAAAAAGAGCAATTTAGAGCTGGAAGGAGCCACTCCAACGTGGCATACCTTTTTGTGAGCCACCCCAGGGTACAATTTAGAGGAGGAAGAAACCACGGTAAGATTTAGGTGAAGATACCATGTTTTAATTGCAAAACTTAGAGAAAACTTTATTACCCTTTGTTTGCTCCGAGCCGCAAGGAACTCAAGATCAGGCCGCTTCCCCACATCGTGTGTGGTGTGCGCACAAGTGAGTTGACCTTGGCGTGCGCAAGTGCGATTTGGGACGCTCGAAGAGAGAGCCACACAGAGAGGGCACTTACACAGAGATGTGTGTATGTGTGTATGATTGTGTATGTGTGTGTGCGACTCGCTTTTGTGCCGTGAGGAGTGGAACAACGCTGCAGAAAGATCGCATAGAGTGCCAGTGCAGCGACACGACCTGATCGTTGAGGCCTGTGGCTCAGAAAGATTCAACCTGGTCAGATTCGGGTTAGTTTGGGGATTTGACAGCCTCAGCATGTGGCCTCCAAAGGGGACACGAGTCATGCAAAGCAGGCTGAGACTGCCCAGTAAGGAATGCTCAAATACGTACCAGATATCAACTACTCCCATGTTAGGCGAGCGTTTGTGCCAAGGATTTTGTGGGTTCCTGAGTGGCATTTTCGTAAATTATTTCAAGGCTCATGTAGGAAACGGTAAGGTGTATCAGATTGGTTTTGTATAGTTTGTATCGGCTACCTTCTGATGGAGCTACTTTGGCAACAGCAAGGAACTCGTTGAACCACTTGCTGTGTATGTGTTTGTGTTCCTTTCTCTTACCAATAATGATGCAGTAATTGTTGCCACGATTTTGTCCGACCAAAGTGTTGGCTCCACCACACAGATTTTTGGAAAGAAAACACATGAAAATACTGGGCGGGTTGATCAAGTGGACAAGATACTTTCAACGGATGCCCTTGGCGAGGTCAACCGGGTTCGAGGAGATGCGTGTGACATGATCATGGAGTGCGAGAAGGATCAGGCGCAGTCGATGTTCGGTCAGGTTGCCTGATTCTTAGACAGGGACTTGACATGGAAGATTGCAGTCTTTTCAGACCTATCCTGTATTCACACACCAGTGATTAGATGTAATTGGCTCATAAGGAGTGTCCCACCGTCTGAGAGGCCTACTAACTTCCAAGTACTTCAAAAAGGGCTTTGCGGGTCGTGGCTGCCGCCAGTCGACCGATCCATTCGGGGCGCAAGCGCATTGGTTCTGGGTTACTTGCATTGGTTCGTAGTGATGGCCTTCTAAGGCGCCTTCTTACACATTGCCAGGCTGGCGTTATTTCTTTGTGACTTTCCTGCACGGGGTCCACAGGAAAACCAGGAGTTTCGAGAATGGAATGCATCCTTTTTTGGAGGTCCACTCCATGAGTAGCTTCCACTGGTAAGAATCAACACTTCAGGCACTCCCTCGATCGATTTTGAGCGGTTGTTTTGTTTTGCTTGCCACCCCACACAGGGATGACACGAAACACCTCAGTTGACTCTTATCTCAGTTTTGGGTCATTTGGTATTATTGCCCATCATCACCGGGCTTTGTCCAAAGACTTTACCGAACTGCTACAGGTTGTTTTGCACTGCACAGCCAGGTCCTGCAAATGAAGATTCTGAAAGTCCCTTGCCCTTGAGGGGAAGATCAAATCTGGCTGATTAATATCAAGTGCCGATGCCGGTGGTTCTTGCTGTTTAAACACATCCAGAGACTAAATCACAACACCGATCAAAACAGCTTGGAAACGGAAAGCTCGTTGTTGCCACTACAACGAAGGCTGCGTAATAAAGGCACTAAATGTTGCTTAAACGTACTGTTTCCCAAAACGGCATTATGTTTTTTTTCATGAACGCGTCTCCAATTACGGTAGTTCTCTTGTTGCCGTGTCAATCACAAATGACCCATGACATGGGAAATTTGAATAGATTTGAGTTTGATTCCAAACCACTATATGAGGTCCAAACCACCCCATGAACCAAGATCCATTTGAGCAGCGTCAAGAACTCTCAATAAAGGAATTTGGATGAGATTCATGTGGGTAGTGGCCCGCAGAGAGGTAATAACCCAGGGCGCGAAAGCCTTGAGAAGGCTTCGCAAAAGTGACATTTGGAGTTGCTGTTGAACGTCGTTGCGAATGCATTCCCTATATATATGTTTCTTTCTGCCAACCAATCGCACATTGAAGAACGAGGGTTCCGCACGAAAGTGGCGAGAAAGTTAAACACCTTGGCAAGGTCGTCAAAACACAGGGGCCTAGCGGCGGGAAAGCCTTCGCCTACTTGGACTGATTCGAACCCCACCGCGACCTGGTTTTCGACATGATTCCAAGCTTGATTCTTGATTCATCCCTTTTTGCCTGCATCCAGCGGTTTGTGCCGAGGTGGATGGAGCAGCAGCTTGGCGCAAACAGGATAACAGACGCTCTTGTTGTGATGAGGTGCCGCACGAAGCAGGGTGTCTCTAAGCATGCAGCATTGCTACTTTGCTCATTTTAACAAATCCAGTCCAAGAAAAGTGTCAGCAAATGGCGAATTTGGACAGTTTAGATTTGACTTGGACTCCTGAATCCACGAATGGCAAGCCATTCTTCCATGATTCCCAACCCTTGTCCATTGTTTTCACCTGCAATAATAGACAAACAACCAAACAGCTCCAACAGGTTTGCATTTCACACCTATTCTCCATCCCCAAGGACCCGTGGAGCAACCGGATCTACGCCCTGGCACGCGTGAGCTGCGACGGGGGGTGCTTACACCGGGCGCCGAGCAATCTGTTGAATGATTGGGACCTTGCGCTCCAGGCCATTGGCTCATCCGAGGGAGCCCTGTCTTCTGTTATCAAGTATATGTGTTTTTTCATATGTTTTCTAATGTTTTCTATGTATTCTTTGAACATGTCTTGTATGTTTTCTGTGTCTTGTCATTTGTTTGCAGACCTGCTCAAAACCCACTCCTGTTGACTGGGGCATGGGTACGTGAAATGACCCACAGCGAGAAGCCATGGGAAATGTTGCCACCCAAGTGCATTTTCACAAAGTTAATGCCACCATTAATTGTGGAAAGTTGAAATCACTCGTGATCCAGTCATTTCCAGTTGTGACCGTGAAGGTTACTATGCAAGTTTTGGGAGTCTATGAGTTGAAGCTCTAGATATCCAGAAGGTCTCCAATGTGGCCATTGTCAACCTTCGTTGTGGATGGATTCCCAACCATGGTTCACGGATCAACCGATCCTATGCCTGCATTGGCTCAAGGCCGAGCCATTCGTCGTTCGAACGCATGACATGAGTCAGCGAGAAAAGGTGCGATGTGTGTTTGGGTTCGGGTCATGTCCCATGTTCCCTTTCATGCTTCATGTTAGGTTCCCCACATGTTCCAATCTGGTTCAGAAATTCCGCATGGTAGCGGAGCACATGGTGCTCATAATTAATTCGATCCAGAACCTTTTGGGGAACCATAGCACTCACATCCGAACACGAGCTCGAGCCATGGGAGACGAATCTGTGAACGATGGAGGTGACCTTAGAGATCGTTCACCTCGAGGCCGAAGACGGCTTCGTTCTTTGCCTGCAGTGGTAGAAGCTCCTCATCCTAGTACATTACCACCAGCTGTTTCGTCTCGATTGGAAAGCCAGTTGAACAGTATGACACAGTCATTGGTTGGTATGAATAGCCAAATTGTGACACTTGCTGGACTGGTTCAACAGCAACAAGAAGTTATGAAACAAGCGCAAACAGCGTTCCAGACTCAGCAGGTTCAATTGGATTCTTTGCGTGCTCAAGCCACACAGCTGCCGATTACACCTCGAAAGCCTCGTGACAGTCCATTCAATTTGGACAGCAAACCAATGCCTTCGAAGCCGACGCCTAACGGAGGTTTGTCTTCGCCATTCGAAGCCGCTGCACAGACCACCTCAGGTCAGCAAGCCGCATCCATTGGTGTTGCAAAGTTGGTTTTGCCCGATGGGACTTCCATACCATTAGGCTCATCAGGTGCCGCTCCAGCTGGTACTCAAGTGCCAAGTTCGTCTTCTGGAAGCGGATCGCAGAGTTTTCAGCTTGACGCACTGCAAAGGTCGGACAAGTGGTTGCCATCGATGCCAACGATCAACACATCTTCATGGAAGACCAGGACAGATGAGATTCTGGGGTATGAGAATTTCCTGGAGTCACTGACATCGTGGCTGGGCTTGGTGTCGGAAAAGTTCAGTCAAGAAGTCAGATTTGCAGCCACCTCGAAAACGACGATTGAACCCCACATGCTGACAGAAGAACAGAAATCAAGGGACCTTCGCCTTTTGAATATCCTTCGCCAGGTCTTTCGAGACGTGCCCAAGGCTCGCATCATTTTGATGGCCTACAGCGAGTCCTATGGCGAGAAGAACGGGTTTGAGGCCTTGAGATTGGTCACGATTGAGTACATGGTCAGGTCAAGGCAAGAGATCATGCACTTTAGAAACAACCTGTTATCAAGGGTATTCAAGTCCGGCAGTGTTACAGAGTTGGTCAAACAGATGGAGTTTGAGGAGTCCAGGTATGAGAAATTGTTGAACATGCTTCCAAGTGGTATATCCAAACGTGGCCTTGAAATCCAGGACACAGACCTCAGCATGTTGTTCCTTCGCTCACTTCCTCAGCAGGTGCGTGAGTTTGTGACCATCCATGGTGCATCTGATGCCTACATCGATTTGAAACAGTCAGCACTTCGTCATGAGAGCAGTCAGAGACTCTGGATGGAAATAGGAGGCAGCACAGCATCTCAGTACCTGAATCAAGGTGTCTTCGACAAGAAAGGCAAAGGTAAAGGAAAAGGCAAAGAAAAGGGTAAGCATCGCTCAGATTCGACCTCTCCAAACAAGGCTGATGATCGCAGCGAGAAGGAGAAGCAATCAACCTGCTTTCGTTGTGGGAGAAAAGGGCACTTTCAATCCAACTGCCGAGCAAAGACCGACAAAGAAGGTAAGGCTTTGGCAGCAGCTTCTGATTCCAAAGGATCTCATCAGGATCCAAAAGGCTCAAAGAAAGGTGGAAAGGGGAAAGGAAAAGATGGGCCGTCCAAGAAGGGCAAAGGAAAGGGCAAAGGCAAGATTGCCGAGTTCATCTCAGAGGCCGAGGGACAGCCAGAGAGCGAAATGTCGCCTGCTGCGAAAGCTGCCGCAACCCCGCCTTTGAATGTGCCGCTCACGCCTTTTGTCGCTTCCAGCACCATGCCATCGTCATGTTACCGAACCATGTTGGATTTTGAGCGTGAAACCAGCCTCAATTGTGACCAGAGCAGTGATTGGTTTGAGGACTGGGATCTTGAAAACTCAAAGAAGTATGCGAGTGAACAAACTCGTAACTATTTGGATCCAGGTAACCTAGTTTCCCTTCCACTTGCAAGTTTTTGTGATGTTCATCAAGATCAAAGCCAAGAGGCTATATGTTTAAATGATATTAATCTTGATCGACAAGTTTTGATGCCTTTGTTTATGCCAGTTAGTTGTCCATCAGACACAAAGACAAGTGACAACCTATGGTGGTTGATCGACTCAGGAGCCAGTGCCTCTGTTGTGAGCAGCCGTTTCATTTCTGACTATAGGGTTATCAAAGAAAGGACTTTGGAACCTCTCAGCGACGGATTCTCGTCGGCTAGTGGTGAAACAATCCATCCCAGCAAGTTGGTTTGTATCGCAACATCGTTCCATATGATTTCGCTTGTGGATCCCAAGGTTTCATGTTGGAAGGTGTGCAGAATTTTAGCATTTGTGGCCGATGTTCCCAACAATGTTCTGCGTGTTGGCAGTTTGTTGACTAGGGGATGGAAGCTTTCAAACAATGGTTCTGAAATGGTAGTCTCTTTTGATGACTTCCGATTGGATGTTGTGACATGGATGAATGTCCCTTGGATCCTCCATTACAAAGATGGAGATCGAGAAGATTCACATCATCAAGCCAGTGGAAGCTCGACGGCTTACGATTTGCCGAAGACATCTTGGAGCAATCGACCATCCGCTGGAAAACACGTTTCGTTTGCCGAAACCGCATCTGATTCGAAAGCCAAGAAGCATCCTCTTTTGATGGCCAGCAAGAGAAAGGCAGAGGTTGATTTAGGTGATAGTGAAGCCGCTGATCCCTCAAGGTCAGAAGAAGCGGAAGTTGTTTTCATGCCGCGTCATCAGCCGATCTCATCTCAAGCAGCCGAACCCGCGGCTGTGGAACCGAACCGTTTTGTCCGTGTCTCAGAAGCTGCCGAGCAGCACACTGGTTCCAGCAGTTCGGTCGGTCCATCCCAAAATGAGCCCAATCCATTTCGGAGCAGTCAGGAGTTGGTCCCATCCCCAAATCCAGAGTCCCAGGAACCATCTCGCGCAGTCCCATCAGGTCTGCCCAATGCCGATCCGTCAAGTTCTCAGCCGAAAGCTGTAGAAGCCGTGAGTGCCGAAGCTGAAACAGAGCATCCATCAGTCTTGAAAAAGAAGAATCGGGACAAGCTGTCCTTGGATGAACACCGCCGCCAAGGCCATTTTCCATTTCATCCAGATTGCCTCGCATGTGTGTCAGCCAAGTCGACGCACCAGCATCGTCGTCGGGGTAATAAGAACTCTAGTGAGATCTGTGCCGATTTCTTTTTCTTGAGGAATGTCCCACCAAATTCAAAAGAGCAATGGAAATTTTTGATCATGGTCGATGTTCATACGGGTATGAAAGCATGTGTTCCAGTTTTGCCCAATGTCATCAACACTCGAACATGGATCAAGAGTTGGATGAATGAATTTGGTTTCTCAGGTGGTGAGTCCCGGTATGCCCTGGAAGTGCTTACCGATGCCGAAGCGAGTGTCGCATCCTTGTTTAAGGGAGTTGATCTTGGACGTGACATTGTGTTCTTCAAAGCCTCACCACAAAGCCACCAGACAGTGGGACACGCCGAGGGAGCTATTCGTATCCTCAAGGATAGCTTTGCCGCACTCCGTCAAGATCTAAGGTCGTTTGGGGTCGATCTCAAGCTCGATAGTAGATCATGTCTGAACACCGTGTTGGCATACATTTGTATGTGCTACAACTTGCATTCGAGCTTCAAAGACACTAAGAGATCCCCAAAGACAATTTTGATCGGTCGTGACGTCGAAATGCAAACCAGTCTTTTCGGATCGTTGGTTCTTGCAGAAATCCCTCATAGCTTGGTAAACAAAGCAGTTTCCAGGTTTGAGAAATCATGTTATTTGAGGCCAGAGTTTGCTTCATTGGGACATCTCTGTGTTACTGTTCTCAACGGCGAAGAATGCATTTTCATCTCAAAGTCCATCAAGTTCCTCACACCTTTAAGTTGGGATTGTAGCTTGGCTCCTTCATTTCTTGTTGAGATTTCACTACCACCAAAGCCGTCAAGGGAAAATGGGGGAGAAGCGCAACCGATTGATCTTGAGTCCGATCCAATGCCACCACCGCCGGTAGCTGATCCTGTGGTGGACGTCGAAATGTTGGAAACTCAAGGTGATTCTGTGGATTTGTCAGCCTTAGCATCGTCAGCTGCACCAGACATGCCCGAGCAAGCCGCGTCAGACCCAATGCAAGTCGGTTCAATTTTAGGTTCGTTGATCACCGCTTTCGATCCTGCCTCCGAAGAACACATGCAGGACCGCCATATTGGTTTCATGAATAGTGTGTATCAACTCAAGGATCGACCAACTTATAAAGAAGAAGTTGAACTGTGTGGTACAAAGGTCACGCTCCATTTCCCAGGGTATGTAATCAGTGATGTTGATGGAACTCACTTGAGTTGTGATCAATCTTGGGAAGGAATGAAAGTTGAAGTGGGAAGCATGTCTTTGCAAGAGGTTGGCCGTGTCCTCAAGCAGAACGAAGCAACGCAGCTTTGTAAAGAATGGGATATTGTGCCAATCACCTGTCGTTGGGTCTCCACTCAAAAAGACGCTGATAACGTTCGTATGCGTATGGTTGCTCGAGAGATCGCACGTGGACAGCTTCATGCCAAGGATTTGCAAATCTCATCTCCAACATCGTCGATCGAAAGCCTGAGACTCATGCTATCAGAAGCCGCAGTCCAAGATCTCACAATCTTGGGTCTCGACGTAAGTGCAGCATTCATGGCAAGTCCATTAGGCCGTAAACTCGGGAAGCGCATTCGTGTCATTCTCAAATTCCCTCCAAACATCACACATAAGGATGGATCCCCAGTTTTCTTGGAAGCATGGAAAGCCATCAACGGGCTTAGGTCCAGTGGCCGTGCTTGGGTCGATCACCTTTCAGCTTTGCTTCAGAGGCTCAACATTGTGCCATCATCAGTTGAGTCAACCGTGTTTGCCGGAGAGATTGATGGTAAGAACGGCAAAGCGTGGGTTCAGGTGGTTGCCTATGTCGATGACCTTTTGGTCTTCTCAGCTTCCAAGGAGCATGTCTATGCTGTGTATGATTTCTTGTCAAAGCACTTGAAGATCAAGATAACCGGGTCCATTCTTTCAAGCAAAGAAGGGGGTGGTAAGCTTCGTTTTCTTGGACGTAATATCGAGAGAAGGGCGAATGAATCTAAGATCACTTTGCACATCGATGAAAGCTATTTAGATTCTACCTTTGAAGTTTTCGGAATTGTTCGTGGAAGTGATTGCCCTCCAGATTTGAGACCAATCCTTGACAATGAAGAGAAGTGTGAGCCTCTGTCGACTGAAGCAGCATTGCGCTACAAAGCAGCTCTTGGAAAGCTTTCGTGGTTGTGTCAAAGTTTGATGTTTTTAGGCATTTACATCACTTTGCTGGCCACCGGGATGGCCAATCCCGAACATCGTCACGAATTGGCCCTCCGAGCTGTCCTCAAATGGTTGTTCAGCCAAAGAAGAATTGCTCAGCATTTTCCTAGTCCGGAGTCCACATTCGATGAGCAATCATCCAGGAATCTTGTGGTTTTCTGCGACGCATCCTGGGCACCCTTGAGATGCCTGAAGAGGCGCTCAATCACAGGAAGTGCAATTTTTTACAAAGGATCTTTGGTAAAAGGATTCTCCAGGGTCCAACAAGCCGTAGCACTTTCTAGTTGTGAATCTGAGCTGTCAGCATTGGCCGATGCATGTCAAGAGTCACTAGGAGTAAATAAGATCTCGAAGCATCTTTTCTTGGGTATCGATAATGATATGCGGGCAATCCATGAAAGTTTCTTCGGGTGCAATCAGGTGTTTCATCTTGCATCGTTCCTGTTTGCTGCCAAAGCCCAAGCTGATTCGACTGTGTCACAAAGTGTTGAACAACCCGATGCCATCATCGAAATGTATTGCGATTCTCAGGCTGCAATCCGGATACTCCAAGCCAGTGGGCTTCAGAGGCGATCAAGACACGTCGAATTGCGTGTTTATTTTTGTCAAGAGCTAGTCAAGCAAGGTAAGATTAAACTCAATTGGATCGATGCCGGAGGTCAAATTGCTGATGCATTGACCAAGACGCTAGGAGCAAAGCTCTTTCATCGATTCGTTGTTCTCATGGGGTATCTTGAAAGGAGTGAACTCTCCACTGAAGCATATGCACATGAGCTCATTCTCAGGTCTCAGATCCGTACCTCACCCGCCAAGTCCAAGTCCATGAAGTCTCAACAGGTAGCATACTCGGATTTACTGCCGAGCAGTCATTCCGGAGTCCCTGCAAACGAGTCAAAGGTAAAACCAAATGACAATTCTGCCAGTTCTGTCCCTGATATGTTGCCGGGCAGCCCATCTAGTGTGTCAGAACCTGAGGCCATCCGAAGCTTGTTGATTGACGCCAGATCCATATCGCAAGTTCGGGCACCAAGATTCGAGAACATCTTCTTGGAGATTTGCTGTGACCGCAATAGCCAATTGAGCAACATAATTTTTAAGATGTGTCCCCACAACTGGTTGATAATCAGAATCACGGAGGATAGTCCTCTTGAGGTCCATCAGCCAGAAATCATCCAGCTGCTTTCGAGGCACAAAGGTTTCAGTTTTTCCCATTGTTCACTGCCGTGCACAGGAGGTAGTAATATTCAGAATCTGAATAAGAATGAATCCTTGAAGCAGCATCGTCATGACACATTCTTCCATTTGCTCAGTTTGTGCGAGAAGATTTGTGCAAGTTCGAGTCACTTTTCTTTTGAGTTGCCTAAGAGAAATAACTATTGGAAGAGTGAACAGCTTCACAAGTCATTGAAGAACATTGGAAGAAAATTGTTTTGCGAATTCCCAAAGTTGTGTTCTTTCGATGTGCCAGTCTCCAAAGTTTTCTTGTGGGTTGGATCGCATCCCACAATTGTTCGTAAGTTCTCGAAACATGCAAAGGAATGCAGTTGTTCGTATCACCTCCCATTCAACTCAGTCGATTGGACATCTACCGGCCGCTATCCAGAGAATCTTTGCAAGGTCATTGCCAGTGGAGTGATCTCCATAAGCCGCGCCGAGCCATCAGCGTCCGGAGGTGGATACATCATGTTTGAGCCAGGGTGGAATGACATTTTGTTCAGTGTGCCGAATCTCGTCAGTCACCCAATTGATAGCTCTAACTGAATCAGTAGCCATGCCGTGGGATTGTTTTGGTGAGTACACCCAAATTGTCTTGCAGCAGAAGCCAAATATATAGTGAGATTGTTTTGGTGAGTACACCCAAATTGTCTTGCAACAGAAACCAAATATATAGATATATGAACCGATAAGTTTCCGCTCAAGCTTTAACGCAGAGCCTGATTTCTGTTCCCAGTGGATGTTGGCTGAGATCATGTTTCTCATGGTGCTATTGCAGGTGATGACGTTGTGCTGTGTTTTGACACGGCAAGATCGCAGCTCGAACAGGGCTGGACATCGTTCACCACGAACGCCAAGATCTCGTTCATCAAGCCGCCGTCGTGAGCGTAGCACTTCTCGAGATCAAAAAGATGATCAGGCCGAATCCAATATGTCTGAAGCACCATCCGCATCTTCATCAAGAGGTCGCCGCCGGAATCTTCCTCTATTGAGTTTGGAAGATGAGCCCCAGATCCATGAACGCCATTCGACAGCTGCCATGCCTAATGTGCCGAAGACAATGCCCGATGAGCTGCAGTCAAGGTACAATATGTACAAGGGAAGAAAGCTCTTGAGCGTCGAGTCTACCGGAAAGGTTCACCTTCCAAGCTGTGGTTCGTTGAGGCGTAGCACCAAGACCGAGGAGGTCTACATGTGCAGTGCATGTTTTGGCCGAGATCTTTTGAGCGTCAACAAATATGGCATGAAGATGGGCATTCAGAACCATGTCTGCCATGCAGTCAATGCAATGGACCAATGTGAGTGTCCACGCTGGGGCCCGATCCTTGAACGCATTTGTTGCAAGGTTTGCATGCCTCCCTGTCAAGCTCCGTCAAAAGCATCTGGAGCCGGATCAGGATCAAATGAGCGATACTCTATGTAAATTTAGGATGGTACATGCAGACCAAATTAAGCTATCACCACGATTGCCAAAGCTTGGATAAATGATGAAAGAGTTCAATGCAACTTCATGACCAAGCCTTCAAAATCGTAAGTTCTAGACGTTGACATAAAGTATATGCTGTAAAATTCCATGACCGAATAAAGCAACGGCATTTGTGGTCAGCGTCCGTTCCTTTTTTGTTAGACAGTTGATGGCCAATTCCAACTGCTTTCGTTCGTCTGCTTTGCTTCAATAGTCTAAAGTATGATGTAATGTTCTCAAGATTGTCCGTGCCAGGTGATGAAACGCCATCACTGTTCGGGCCAGAAGCCAAAGTGGTCAAGTGAACGCCTTCTTCGGTTGAGCTTTCAGCTTGATTTGTCAGTGAAATATTCTCAGAGCTTTTCTTAGGTGTGACCATTCTGAGCGTGCCTGAGCTCCGGTCACGACTTTGATAAAGATTTTTAATGAATCTCAGATAAGATTGAACTTTCGAATAATCTCCTGTATGTGCAGTTATTTTTGGCGCCAAGCATTTTGTTCGCAACTGTTCCTCAAATGACGGTCACAAAAGGGGGTGTGGAAAGTTGAAATCACTCGTGATCCAGTCATTTCCAGTTGTGACCGTGAAGGTTACTATGCAAGTTTTGGGAGTCTATGAGTTGAAGCTCTAGATATCCAGAAGGTCTCCAATGTGGCCATTGTCAACCTTCGTTGTGGATGGATTCCCAACCATGGTTCACGAATCAACCGATCCTATGCCTGCATTGGCTCAAGACCGAGCCATTCGTCGTTCGAACGCATGACATGAGTCAGCGAGAAAAGGTGCGATGTGTGTTTGGGTTCGGGTCATGTCCCATGTTCCCTTTCATGCTTCATGTTAGGTTCCCCACATGTTCCAATCTGGTTCAGAAATTCCGCATTAATCGATTGTGGACGAACAGGCATTTTCCTGGCTGGACGCCTGCGCTCCCTGAATAGATAGACCAAAAGACCGAATGTCTCGTTGTGAAAGGGCTGGTCTATTGACGCAGTTTATATATACAACTTTATTCACCCAGACCAGTGCTATACCCGTTCTTTCGATCTTTAGCCTATATTAGAACATATTTCGAGGCCCATTCGATGCTTTGGACCGTTTGGCGAACTGCAAGAAGTCGAATCTTTTGCGCAATCGCTCCTTCGTGGAAGAGGCCGTCGAGCGAACACGGTCGCCTTGGCTCTTGAGGCGACGGGAAGTTGCCAAAGACGTGAAGTCAGAAAACCATTGGAAGACGTTGCTATGTGGGAAGGTTTTGTTGACCTCAAGATGAAGTAGTTATCCAAGCAATCTCCCATATATACCAAGTAGCAAGTTACCTACAGCCGAGGAGGTAGCAACCAATCGTTTACATAATCTTGCCAGAATCTTGCCTGTTCTTCTCAGAGTCCAACAGCATGTGCCCTGTTCTTCCCCACATCTTTTCTTACTCTTACGGTACTCCTCCTCCTCCTCGTCCTATCTGGCAACTCAACTCAACTCAACTCACTCACTCACTAGATTATTCTTCCTTCTGCCTTTGCCTACACTTGTTATAGACGCAAGCTTCCCGTGGGGGATACTCGGTCTTTTGTGTTCCCCATGTGTTCGTTGCTTGCAAGATTCAACTTCATGCTTGGAAGAACCTTATACAAAACGTTCACAAGTCTAACCTGACAGGCTTCCCCAATTGAAGCACTTCAGTGAGGATCAAGAGTTGCGCAATCGCTGTGAAAGAGCGGCTGGGACTGGGCTGGTCTTCACGTGGTACCAGAGTGCCACATGCTTCATGAGGATGAGGGAGTATTTCAAGGCGACTGGAGCTTCAGTCCCCGGCGGTGCAGCATATGAGGCAGTCATGGAAGAGTTGAATCGTCGACCGGGAGGCGGGCTGAGGAGGCAACAAGATCACACGCAGTGTTTACGTGTTGACTCCCCTGCCAACTAACATGGAACCTGAGAATTCATCGGTAGACGGCCATTTTCCTCCACGACCCAGTGGTTTTGGGGGTTCATGTTAGTTTGCAGGGGCATACATAATACATCATAATACATACATGTGGAGAAAACGGGAAGAGCGCGTGGGAAGGTCCTAGGTCCTTTGCTTCCTAAATTCCTTATGAGTTGCGTCAGCTGAGTTGCAACAGGCCCCGAGCTGGGTACACCAGTGCTTGGCAAGGTTTTAGGCATTTGCTTTGAGGGAGATAAAGAAAAGACGCAAAAGACGGAGAATGCGTTGACTTACTTGTGCTCACCAAAAAGAGAACTTGGCGGAATTTGAATGGAGTTTGAACCGAGTACCGATTACCTTTGAATCTGGCCATGTGTGGTGTGGTTATGATTTGCCGCATGGCACACTGTGCGGACGCGCGGACTATATGCGTAGACAAAGTCATCGAGCACCCTGATGAGCAATGATGAGCTGCGTGCTGTTGTGGGGGTTGTTTGTTCCTGCGGTGACCTGCAGAGTTATGTGATGTTATGTGTGAGGGTCTGATTTCTAGGTGGCGGTGGATTGGTGGGCTGACACAAAAAGAAGGTCGTGGCCATGGAGTGACTGAGGCAGTACTCTTACTGAAAAAGGCCTAACCTCAGAGACCCTTGTGGGTCTACTTCTCGGCCATCCAAGAGACGATGAAGGGCACAGGTATTTCTCCAATATGTTTGGCTTCGCAAAGGAAGGTGAGCCCCAGCTAAAGCGACCGTGCACACCATGAGTGCGTATGTTTACCGCTGTTTACCCGCGTAGAGTTACTGGAAAAGAACACGAGGTCACAGAGGTTTTATGACTTCCACCAGGTCCACCAGCCTGCGACCGGTCTTCCATGGAAGCCACACGCGGATGCCGCGTTGGCCAATGTGGATGCCGTGTTCCCAACCTCACGGGCTGCGGTGGCTGGACCGGACCACGGCTTCACTGCGAAGGGTCACGGGGCTTCGCTCCGGGGAGAGACGCGTGAACTGCCTTCGGTCGCTTGGAGCACCAGCCTCAAGCGGGGTCTGGCTCTTGGGTTCGATCAGGCCCAGGGGAAAGGAATGGAGTTCTTTTTGACCAGACATGTGGCCAATCTGGGCCAGATGGCAACGTTGAATGCAGTCTCACAGAGGCAAGGGTCCTCCGCTATCAGGTCAAGCCTCTATGACTTATGAGACTTTGGTGACTGTTGTTCTCAGCTCAAAGAGGCTTTGCGGCGGGCAGGCGAATTGGACCTGACCGCACCATCTTTTTGGAACACAACCTCTCGTGTCAACGGTTCCTAAACAGGAAATATTCGGGAGCGCAACTCTTGCTCGGCAGTGAAGGGGATTGTGGCAGGAACAGACCAATCAGCAGTGACTCAGGCAGTTGAACGACAAAATTCCCTTACGCACTGAGCCAGGTAGGGCACATGGAAGGATGGGTTGCGTCTCTTCAGTCGTTGGATGTGCAACATTATGCACTACAAAACGTAGGTCGCAAGAAGAACGCATATGTTCATAAGTATATATATATATGTATACACAGGCATACGAGTGAGTGCGTGTGTGTACATCTAAAATATATATATATATATTATGTGTGCACAAATAAAGAAAATTAATAACTATTATATAATATGATAATATATGATAATATATGTATGCAGCATGCACATGTAGGTATACACATATGGAATATTGGTTGTTTGCGGTGATGCCCGTGATGCCCCTTTTTTTGCGGCAAAGGAGCGCTTTAGCACTCAGTGAATCTGAAGAACGCAAGCAATTCTTTAAAGTGACGGTGGTGACCAGTTCACGGGGGTTTAGATCGGCTACCTTTTGATTTGAGGTCTAGGAGAAAATTTGATAGAATGTTTGAGAAAGTGTAATGTTCTTTCTGTCGTTGATCTTCACAAGAGTTCATTCCGGTGGCCGTGGTCAAAGAAATCCACAATGGAGGAATGCTAGTTGCAACACGACAAAGTCACATGTGTATTTTAGCCGTATAGGAACCCTTTTCGGTGGACAGTTTTCAAGTACATTGCTGGGTGTTGGGGTGACTCTTTCCGTATGCCACTTTGGCGTCCCTCGAGGTGCTGCCACTGTGTGGTTCGGGGACGAGCCGGTCTTCGGCGTTTCGGCCAATGGCGGCAAATGGCAGCACCCAACAACAGAGTGTGGCCGTGACATGGTCCCTGTCCCCGGCGGGAAACGCAACGGCAAGTGGGACTGCAAAGTCGAAAGCAGGACTGGAGATCGTGAACCTGAAGTGGGGTCCCGGCATAAATGTGATTTGGTTGAGAAAAGTGGCTGGTGTTTTTGGTTTTCAGGACATGTTGACTAAAGTGAACACAGTCAAATAGGTTGTACAGAACTGGGCCGTTTGGAGTTTCAACGTTCTTCAGCTGGTCCACCTTTCTGCAAAACTGATTTGGAGGAGGGCGACGGATGGCGATGTAGACCCTGTGAATAGGGAATGCTTAATTTCATTGAGTCGTAGCTTGCCTGCTCTTGTTCTATAGAAACAATACATGTTTTTGTGTTTTTTTGTGGCGAGTTACCACCTTCACTTACAACAGACCCTACCAAGGGGCCGGATCAAAACTAGAAAGGACATGCCTTGAAAGGGGTCACCAAACAACAGTGTTGTTTTGTATTTTTTGGTCGAAAAACACACCCCTTTGGGCGACCGAAAGGTTGGTGCTGCCGGTGGCTGCGAAGAGTCCAAAAGATGCACCGCGAAGGCTACGTGATTTGCTGCACGACATCCAATATTTTTGATCGAGATGCTTGGATGAGGTTGTGTGTATCTGCAGCATGCGAAAGCTCCCTAGTCATTTGACTTTCCTGAGGTCAAGGAGAATTGAACAAAATTTGGAATGTTTAGACATGAGTGGTTTGTCCCAATTCCGAAGGTTGGCGGGTGTAGTTCAAAAACGACTTGGTTAGCCAGTCCTTACTGTACAAACCCTCATCCTGTGCTAGGGCATTGAAGATGTGTGTTTCTGTATAGGAATTGGGAGTAAGTTGTGGATCTAGGTTTGCTTGAAAAAAGACAGATTGTGGATGATGGGGTTGAAGGGCTTTAACATTCAGACTCTTTTTGCATTACTTGGGTTCTCAGCTCATTCTCAAAGTTTATGGATAGGTGAGCAAGGCCAAAAACCTCCCAAGATGAAGAAAGTTATACGACATAGGGGTTTAATCATATAGTATTTAGCCCAGCTCAGGTGAGTTTGCTTACAGTTAGTCATCGCCCAAACTTCCCCAAAGCTTCCTTGGATTCTTTGCGTCAACTACTAAGTATACTTGGTCACAATGCCACAGGCGGAGTTTAACATAGTTTAGCGCTTTTCGGCCGCTCAAACCTGCACGAAACTAAGATTGTGATTGTTTTGATGATTTTGATGTTTGACCCAACTATAATTGGTTCGTCGTATGCAGGCCGCCATGTTGATTTTCGATGCACGATGGACAAGGTTTGGAGACATCGTACTGCACAGATTTTTGGGAGCCTCTTCCGATCGAAGGACCGGTAGATGTATCAGCGGCAAGACCCATGTGCGGAGAGGAGCACAAGCGGAGAAAGTAGGCATGTCCTGAGCTCGTAAACGTGACACAAGGATACACATTTGGAGAAACAACCCGAACCCCAACGATTGCCACCGCGTAGCTAAAGCTCCCCGCTGCCACCCCAGCACAGCAGCCACTGATGTCATGGACAGCAGGTCGAATTCCACCGGCACAGATGAAGAGCTCCCTCGTGCCACGGGCAAATTGACGCACAAGCCTCGCTTCCAGTTGTCAACATCTCAAGCACCTTCTAAGTCTTGAGTCAATAAAATCAAACAAAGTAATACAAAATACCTATTCGGTTGGAGGACGTGGCTATTGGGTTGGAGGCCATTGCTATTATGTTGGAGGCCATTGCTATGAGTGAAGATTGTGTTTTTTGAGCCTCCAACGAAACCTCGAACACTCGATGCTTTAAGGCACGAATCATCGATGCAAATCACCGGAGCATACTCGGCCACGTTGAAAACAGGCGGTGTTCGCTCACAGTCGTGCGACATTACCCCACCCCCTTTATGGTTCATGTGGAAATCAATATGTCCACAACAACCTCCAATAATGTTACAAATGAGCAAGAACCTTTATGGTTCATCACTATCACCCCTGTCGTCATCATCACCATCATGATATTCTCCATCAATCATCTTCGTTACAATCCCCATCCTCATCGTGGGCCGTCAACTCCTGCTGTGCTTCGGGCTATCCTGTCATCTAGTTGTTCCTTGTCACACCGAGCTGGCACCGTGTTAACATCACGTCAAAACGGCTTTGTGCCCATTTGACCTCGGTTTTGGCAAAAACGGTTTTGTTTTCAATCAGCACTGAGGAGACGAAAAGCCCCCGATCCGAACTAAGGAGTGGGTGGGAGACGAAAAGCAAGCTGGCTCATCTGAGCTTAGCGACCTTCAGGCGAGGAGGTTTCGTCAACCGAAGACGCTTGGCCTGCCTTTTGATGTGTGTTGTATGAGGTGTTTTTGTTTGGATTGATGTTCTTTTTGTACATTTGTCTTAGTCTTTGCTCCTTGTTTTCCAATTTTCTTATTTTTTTGTTTCAGCTCTCACCTCATTTGATGTGGAAGCCTTCCGCAGCCAAGGGAAGATTTCCGCAACGGACGGCCGAAAAGGTGGGGCACAGGTCGCATCCAGCTCCTCGGTCCATGGCAACCTGCCCCGAGGTCAGATCCCCGAACAAGATACGGACAGGGAGGATCAAAAGCTTCGCGTGGGCAGAGGTGGCACCCACTCTGGTCATGCAATCTTTTGGTTTTATTATGTTTTATTTGTTTGGGTGTTATGGTTTGTTACTCCTGGCAGTTCAAGTTCCAACTAAGGATCCCCAGCGAAGAACATGGTGGAGATTTCAATCGTGAAGCACCAGTTCACGAGCGAACGAACCTGCCTCTAGGGCAAGGGTGCCGTTGGGAACGATTAGCGCTCGATGGACTGGGGTTTCCTGTCTTTGTATTTTTCATGCCATGATGTCTAAGATGAAGAATCGGGTCTTCCAATGAATTTGGAAGATAGACATGTCTGCAGAATTTGGAGGCTGTTGTTTTGCGCGAAGCGCAGAGGCCACAAAGCCACAAATTTGTACTGGAATGGGTGCGTGAGGTATATTGCGCATTGGCTTTGTAAATCCATTGGTTTCATTGGATTATATGTTGTTATATAAATGAATTGAAATCCAATGCCCATATTAATCCGCCCAGACTTTATTCAATGAATTGGAAAATAATTATGAAATAATATATTTTTGAATTAATATATAATATTTGAAAAATTAAAATAATATAATTATTGATTATACATATAATTATAGGAATAACAATAACTATCATCATCTATAACTACCCACCAAGAATAAGCTCCTAACTAACTATCGGGCGTCGGACCTTAATCCTTAGATTTATATATAAATATTTTATATAATAAAAATTCGATTTACCAAATATTATTTATAATTTTATATTATATATTTATATTGTAATAAATAATATAGAATTAATTTTATTATATTTTGATTTAATGATTTTATTTGTGTTTTATCGATTTATATTGAATTTATGTTGGGGTTGTATTGAATTTATTTCGGGTATATATTGAAATTCTATTATTGATATTATGTATAATATATATTGATGGGGATTAAAGATGATTTTTATTTTGATTTTTTCTTTTTTCGAGATTTAAATGTTGTAAACAAATATGATTTCTTGATAAATTAAGAAGTAATATTACAATATGATGTTATTGAATATCATATATAAAAGAATTTTTTTAACGATGTAAGTGTTTTTTAGTTTTTAGGTTTAATTTTTTGGGTCGATGGCGGAGAATGAATATTTATTTCCTTCGGACAGGAATTAATTTTCGGATTGATGATAGAATATTGATAAAATTATATATATTATTTTTGATAGAATTTCATATATTTTGATTGAATAATATTAATATGAATATATAGATTTTTTGCTATTTTTATTAATATAATTGTATTTTAAATAATTTTATACAATTTAATATAATTATTTATGATTTTATTAAAGACCATAATAAATATTATTACATAAAATTAAAATTAAATAAAATTATTATAAATACAAAACTAAATAATACAAAATATAAATAAATAAAAAAACGACAAATACAAAAATTAATTTAAAGATCTAAAATATATTAATAAAGATAAAACAAAAGAAACAATACTAAATCCCAAAAATAGACGAACAACAAATATAACCAAAAAAAACAAAACAATTCTCCTTTTTTTTAAACATTATATTTTTTCGCATATATATACGTCGTATATTTTTCGTAATTTCAATTTATTTAGAATTTTAATCTGATTAGATTTCTATTTCTTAGGCATATCTTGGAAATTGGACCTCTCAGATTTAACGTCGTAAATCCAATAATTATACGATATGATCATGAAATTATTGGTGATTATTTTAAAAAAATTAAACAATGAAATCATTTATTATTTAAAATCTTTCAAATTTATTCATGGATATATATTATAAATGATCTTTGATTTAATTGATATTTGAATATATTCTATGATTATATAGAGGTGGCCAATAATTAATGCCATAAAATATAATTTTTTTTTTTTTTTTTTTTTTTGTTTTTTCATATTTATATTATTCAATATAATATTGAAGATTTTGCAATATTATCGAAATATTAATTTGAATTTAATGCATTATTTCAATATGGATTCTTTAATTTGTTTATTTCGATCATCTATGAATATATTAGTCTATTTCATAATTATACCTAAATATTAGAATATATTCGTTGCCAAAAGCAACGAAAAGATATTTAAAGGAAAGATCATCAAATTTATAAAAATATATGAATCAATATAATAAATATAAAATTTCTAATATTCAATAATATTATATATTATATTCAATTTATCTGACTAAAATTATCTAAATATATTATTATCATGATATTTCAATCGGATATTTTTTCGATATATATTGAAATATTTTGTTTGATATTCATTTTGGTATATCTTTTGATATTCTTTCTGATATTCTTCTGATATATCTTCCCATATTATTTCTAGCATATATCTATTAAAATTATTTATTGTATTTTATCTGGCATATATTCCATATATCTTCTGACATTCTTTTTGAGATTTTTGTGGCGTTCTATCTGGCATATCTTCTCATTGGCAATTGAAGTCCGGCGGGTAAGATTGTCGTTCGGAGCTTGCGATTGAGGTTTTTAGGAAATTCTTTCTGGTATATCTTTTGATATATTTCTTGAAATATTTTCTGATATTCTGTCTGACATATTCTCCGATATTATTCTAATTTTTTGGGCGTATTTTGATGTTTTTTAAATATTGTTTTTTTTGCATATTTTCTGATATTCGATCAAAATTCGTTTTGGCAATTCTTCTATTAGTATTTTTCTGATATTCTTTTTGGCATATGTTCTGATATTTCTTCTGATAATCTTTCTGTTGTTTTATCTGGCATATCTTCCGATTCGCGATTGAGGTCCGGCGAATATCATTGCCGTCGGGGAATGGCAATGAAGATCTGGCGGGCGATATTATCGTCGGGGGCTAGCAATTGAGGTCTGGTGGGGACTCGTCACTTCCGACCCATTGAAGCCCCTGTAATTTACAGTGTTTCGTGTATGTGAGTAAGGTATAAAAAACCTGTGTTTTACAGGGTTTATTGCGCATATCGAAGTGCGACGCGGCGAAGATGGAGAAATGCGAAAACGCTGTGTTTTTCAAGGGTGGTGTCGGTAATGCGCGCCGGGCGGACAGGCATAATCGACATTTCGTGGGTAGAGGCCCTCCCGATGATTGAAGTGGCCTAATATATCTTCAACATAGGCCTAAGATATCCAATATATCCCCAATATATGCCCAACATAGCCTCCAAGATGGCTCAACTTAGGACCAACATACGCCAACATGGGGCCAACATACGCCAACATAGGCCCAACCTAGGCCAACATAGGCCAACATTACATAGGCCTAACGTAGGCCAACATAGGCTCAACATGGGCCGGGCCCAACTTGGCCCAACCTGGGGCCAAGATGCGCACCAGATAGTTTAACTTGTGCCCCAGACCCCGGCTGTCTCCAACGCGGAACAATTTCCCACCTCGCCCCCGATAGCTGCACGTGCACCCGACCCAGCCCTACACAGACCGACCCTAGTGTGCCGGCGCCCGGCTGTCGTCGGGAGGTGGGCGATTGAGGTCCGGAGGGTAATACTACCGTCCGGAGGTGGCGGTTGATGTCCGGCGGTTAGTATTGCCATCAGGAATTGACGGTTGAGGTCCGGCGGGGGGCATTGCCGTTAGGGGCGGCTGAAGTCCGGCGGATAGCATTAGAAGAGAGTGGGACGCCACCATGTCCCCCAATATATGTCGATTTCAGCGTTTTTTAAACCCAAATATATAATGTTTATCTCTATATTATTGGTCTTATTCAGAAAATGCTATGTTATATGTTGACGATATAATATCATAAATATTTATGAAATATGTTTTTCAAAAAAATTAATGTTGACAATTTACCCATATATAATTATTGATATTATTTAATATCTATTTGTATTATTCTATATTTTGTTTTTTCTAAAAATTCAATAAGAATTATATTCAAAAATATTGTCAACCATTCTATCATCATATTATTTCATAATCTTTGTTATTGGCAAATTGATCATTTGATTTTAGTTGTCTGGTTTTACGTGTAGCAAAAACTATTATTCAACAAATTATGTCAATAAATATTAATTTCCAAAATATATATTATATAGCTATCATTTTATATATAATCCTCTAATAAATCCATATTTCGACAAATAATCTATATTGGCATACAAATTTTCAATATATTCACAATTCTATTCTTATAAACATACGCCATAATCAAATCCTAGAGATTGGATATCTTATATCTAATGCAAGAATCCCAAAAATTATATTATATAATCATGAAATTAATAGGAAATAGATTCGGGCTAATACTATTGATATTTTGGTACATTCGAAAGGCCAAATTTCAACGATCATTATTAACAATAATTATCTCCCAGAGATTGACAAATTAGGGAAATAATACATGCTAAAATAGAAAATAGCAATTCAATTGTTTATATCAATAATATTTTTAAAATCTATTTATAGATGTGCATCATGATAGATTATTTATTAATCAATATTGCGAATAGATTTTTTTTATTAATTCTAGTCTATTCTCCGATCATTTAGGGGTAATTCATCATCCACACCATAAATTATTTCATATATATATTTTGTTATTCCATCGTCCAATATAATAGGAAGAAATAATTAAATTATATTATGGAATCATCGATAAATCGAATTAATAATTATCTATTACATAAAAATATAGTTCTATTTTATCAATCGATAAATAAAATACAATATTTAACATGTTATTTTTCTTAAAATATATTCGATATATTAAACAAAATATTTATATAATATCAAAAGAAAAAACAATATATACAACAACTTTTCTTATTTTCTCTATTCATTAATTAAAGAAAATATATATTCCATTCAATAAATAAAATCAAAAAATACAATTTGAAGAAAAAAATATATATACACATATTATATTTAAACAATAAAAATTATTAAATATAGATTTTGCAAATATATAATATAAGATCGAATTATCACAAATATTTAATATATTTCATAAATTTTATATATTTAGTTAATTCAATATCGGTTATATATAAATATAATCATATTAATAAATTGTATTCATAAATACATAATAATATAAATACAAAAATCAAAAATATATAATTCATATATATTATTAAAAAAATTATCCATTCAATGTAGACGATTTATTATATTATATATATTTAGAAATATTAGTTAAATATAGAAAATAATTTAATAGAATTAGCAAAGGTAGAAGCGGCTCTTTTCACCTCCACTGGCTTGAGTTAAGCCGCTGCGGTATTGGGCTCTTCATGTATGTTTTACATGTGCATGAGTATCCATGATCAAGTCTGATACCCTGCCTTTCAGCGGGGCGTTCTAGGCTCGCTGAACCTTTGTTCAAAATATGCAGGACTTACTGCGGGTTCAGCTCTCAAACAGGCCTACAAA